CATCAAGCTTCCAGATCTTGATTGTTGCGTCAGCAGCCCCTGAAGCCAGAAGAATCTGCTTAGGGCATCCCTTGGACCGCAGGATGGCGATGCAGTTCACGGGTGCCGAATGATCGTGCACCGTCTGAATGCACTCTCCTTGGTTCGTCTTTGGGTCCACTGCCCAGACCTTGAGTGTTTGGTCATCTGAGCCACTGATGAGGAGCTTGCGGTCTTCACCGTCCACTTGGGGCAAAAACTTGACTGCTTTTACAACCTCCTTGTGACCACTTAGGAGAGTTGTGATGCCCTCTGCATTTTGTGACTGATTCATTCATCGTCAGCATCGGGTGATCGAGTAGCGGACTGGGGGAAGAGCTTACAGACGGCGCCCACAACGCGATATTGCAGTCAGCGCCAAAGGCAAGAAGACCACAGGGGCTCCAGTCGGCGACGGCAGTCTGCCTATTGGCTCCTGTTGACAGATACTCTATTGAGGGCTGTGTGCCAGCCATATTGTCTCTTTCTCGTCGTCTTCTTTTTCGTCGCTTGTAGATGCTGCGTCGAGGAGTGACTCTGAGGGTTGACAAAATGCGGCGATATGATTGGCTCACGGGTCACAGTGAAGACGTGAAGTTGAAAATTTCTTAGTGGGGGCGGGGCATCCCTCGGGGGGGCGCCTGTCTGCCTGCCCGTCGCCTTACACTACAGCGCTTGAGCCGCCGCACCGTTGGCTCCACAGGTATCCGGCAGAGGCTTGCGCTTGCCATCGGAGCGCCTGGCCCAACTGCCTGATCCAGTGATGCCCGTGTGCTCAGGGCCTCCCGTCCCCCCCAAATACCTACTTGACTTGCCCGTGACAGTGTGCCTAAGGTAAGGTACCCCCGTGCCTTACAGACGCCTGACGTGCCATCCGTCCATCCTTCCATCGCATCTTTCTCACACTTGTCCGTGCCGTGCCGCGCCCCAATCTGACAAGCAAACGGACTTTATTACCATTACATCTCATATTCTTCATCTATTCTCCGACGTCTCGCAGCTGCCGGCACTTTGGATATCGTGGGAGATTTATATTACCAAGCCTCGCAAAAGAAAAGAAATGGCCGCAGAAGCTGCAGATGCGGGGGAGAAGATCGCCGTCGTTGTTGAGTTCTCGTAAGTTCCCATTCTCCGCCGGCCTCTACTCTCTACTCTCGTCGCTCTTCTATTCCATCCTGTGGCTCAAGCAAGGTGTTTCTTCTGGGCCGGTCCCGTCTCCCGGACTTTGGCCTGAGACCGTTCCACGCAGGCTGACGGGGTCGATCCGAGGACGATTTCATTTGCATCTTGCATAGATCATTCAGGTACGAATGCATAACTGACATGGTATCTGGTGGGCAGCGGCGGCCTGGAGATGCTCTTCTCTGATCAGCGGCGTCACGCTCTCTCTATCCCGGCGGTGAACAAGGACGGCAAGCCCGCAACTATTGCCTTTCTCATCAACTATCTCTGCGAGAAGACGATGAAGGACTCCAGAAAGGAGCTTTTCGTCCTAGACGGTCATCTGTACGTCTTAGAGTTGCATCAGCCACGCGCCGTCTCCATCCTTGGGCATATCTTCATTTCGGCCTCGCCTGGCTTCGTGTTTCTCCTATTCTCACCCCAACGTTGCTTGTCCTATGCAAGCCGTGTATCGCCACTCTGGAGTCTTTCTCAAAATCTGCGATGAACGTGCAGAGTAGCTATATCGAATGCAACGCTAATGATGTCTCTCTAGTCGCCCTGGCATCCTTGCCCTCATCAATGACGCAGACTGGGAGCTTGAAGGAGAGGAGGCGTACGAAGTCCAAACCGGTGACAATATTCTCTTTGTCTCGACGCTTCATGGAGGTTAGATGGAGAGGGGGGCATGGGTGACCTTTTCGCGGGCCAATGACTCCTCCTTTCAATGAGGGGCCCTGCAAGTGTTGCGGCCGTATCTCTGGGTCCCTGGAACTAGCAGGATGCATCCTCCCACTCTCAAGCCTGCTGCTGCCTCTCCCCGGGGGCCCAGCGCCGATAGAACGACGTTGAAACTCAGACGCCCTCCCCTCTCTCTCTCGCTTCGTGCAGCCGCATTGCATCGCATCACATCGCCTCGACTAGTCTGCGGCCGTAGCCGTTGACCCGGCGCCTCTCTTTCCCCCGGCCCCGGCCAGCGGGGAGATGCAACTCGTGCTTCCGCCGTTGGTCTTATTACACTGCTACAAATACACCACAACCCAACGGATACATCCTTTAGCCATGCGCGCCGTCGACGCAATGAAACGTCCCGGGAGATATTCACCCCTGACCCCCGCCTCCCAGAAACTGCCACCACCCTGCTTGCCGCATATCTCGTGGTCGCATCGTGGCGGCAGCTCTTCACCCCTCGTGTTCCCCTTGCACCTTGGCTTGGCTTCCCCGGTCGCCCCGAGTTGCTTTCGCCATCATCTAATCTCTTCTAGTAAATAACGGTATGCAACGTCGATGATGGGACGCCTAGCGGGACGTGCCTCCGGGAAGCCTGTCAAAGTCGCATGCCCTGCCGCGCGCCACCCGGAACTATCACGAAAGACGAATAGCGCAACTCTGGCAAGATTAAGAAGTCTGTTGGCGCCACGCAGGGCGAATGTCGATAGTCGGGGCGGTCAAGGGTTCATGTCCAATTGTTCACTAGCTTGCGGCCGAGGAGATGGAGGATTGGACTGGATCAGCGGGTTCCATATCTGTACATCGACGTTGCTGCACCGTAACGGGCAACGGAAATGTGCCACAATGCACCTCTAAACGAGGCCTTCACCAAGAAGCTAGTGTACTGTTGAGCCGCCAGCCACAAGCCCAGCTCGCTTGCTCGCGGCGAAGGACGCAAGATTGCCGGCCCCTCCCTCCTCCGGACCCTTCCCCCGGCGTGCGGGCACTTGAAGACGGAGGCGGTGAAGAAAGAAGGGGTCCGTCACGGTGATCCGATGGTGTGCATTTGCAGCTGTGACGATGCAGCCCGGCAATCCATTCCCCTCCTTCTCTTATTTTGGGGGAATTTTATATGCTGCGCACGTACATTTGTGCTCTGCGCTGCACGTCTTCGGCTTCCCACCAGGCTGCAGGAAAAAGCAAATGGGGACAGTTGCGTCCCGCGCGTGCGATCCTAATGGCCCAAATTCGCTCTACACCCCCTCTCACACACACACACTATCTCGTCTATGTATGTACGTACGGATACCAAATAATTACAAAGGGGACCAGACAGGGAAGAAGATTAAAACACACAGGCTCCATATGTTCTCGAAGGACCCAAGGAACTCACGCCCATCTGGAAATACGCACGTAGCTGTAGGCCCCCCACATACATGGCAGACACTTCTCGTAACTTTTGCTCGAAATGGACGGACACCCTCTTTTTTTCTGTTCCTTGGAGATGTCTCTGATTTCCCAAATGTCCAAGACTCCCAAGATTGTTACCGTCGTATCTGCGGAGAATACCGTACCTACATTAACGCAACGGCAACTCATAACGTTTTTCAGCTAAGCATGTCGGGATATTAACTATGCCCTGTTCAAGCTCAGGTGAGAAGGGGGGGGGGGGGGGGCAGAGACACGACGTCTGTGGAACGTGAGAATGGGGTGAGCGGAACGTAAATAGCAGTACAACTGAGACTAGCTTGCTTCACGTCTTGCAGGAGTTGGGACCTTCTGCGGCTGCAGTTCACTGTTTACTAAGACTGCTACTGCTGTTGGGTCGCCTGGCCTGTCGGCCCTTCTCAGGCGGCTGTTCCAGATCCTGCTGGCGGTTTCCTGTGCAATGCTACTCGTACCATAACTAATAATGTAGTAGCAGGATGTGGAACTTTTTCTAAGACTTGAGAGTAAGGAATGAAATATAGCAATGGACGGACGTTTGAATATCATGCGGCGAGTTGTTTGAGGGTCAGACATGGAGAGGGGGGGGGGGGGGATAAATCGTCTGGCGCGTGCTGGTTTCTCACGTTACACAAACGAACTTGGCTGTTCGGCAGTTGTTGTTTGTTTACTTTCATGTTTGATGGGGGAATCGGGATGGATGATGTAGGAAGACGTGCATGTAGAGCTGCCCACGTGAGTGTATGTCCCGGGTGGAGCGGATGGTAGAGGAAACAATTTGAAGTACTCATTGCATGGTTGATAGACAGTGTCATTTCCGAGATACAGTTTTAGCAGTTTGTTTTTCATGTGTTAACTGACCATCCATGATTCCAGGAGTATAACGTAGAATGTCTCTTGTAGTAACCCATTTCTCATTGTGAGAATCTTCCTGAGAAGAAAGCCCTAGTGCAGCTAGAATTTTAGAGCTAGTTTCTTGCAGCTTGGTTGCAGAGACTGAGTTTGGGCGGAAAACAAACGACAAGTTGAGGACTAGACTCTGGCTGTCAATAATGGTACACTCTTTAGGAAATCATTTCAAGCTTCTCTTGAATACAGTTTGCTTTGGGGGGCTAGTCATTCTGTTTTTGAACTAGAGCAACTTGAACATGACAGGCAGTTTCGTAAACCGGCAAAAGGATTGAATGCGGAATTCTCCTCCACAAGTTTTGCCAACTTTCGCCAAATAGTAACTAACACTAGTAAATGATTTTATGAGTCAATATGCTCACTAGACTACAAGATTGAAGAGTCTCCAAAATTCTAGAGTTTGGAGTCTAGAGTCTGAGAAAATTAACAGAACTGAGTTACAAAGGCTAACAGAGCTTCCTTTATATCTCATGGAGAACTCAATTACAAAACACATCAAATGCATAACTCCAATCAGAGAGAAGAAGGTTGAGTATTTGTTTTGTTCAAGAACTACTCAACTCCTACATTATATATTGGAGCTTTCCATATCTTCTTCAGGATTAGTTGGACTCACCGTCCACATTAGACGTTTTAGGTAGTTACAAAGTCTCGCTGCCAGATTCTAATTACAGGTTTCTTTATAACTGCCTTTCCCATACAAAGATCTCTAGCACTTCATAAATACGAACACCCGATTCCCAACATGATCCATCTCATGCCGAATCCGTGACATTGAACTTCTCAGCAAACGGATCCCAACTCGGATCCGTATGCCTCTCATACTCCATCAAATCCGCAATCGATGCCGCCTCCTCCCCGCCGTACACCTCTTCGATAAAAGCCAGCGTCGCGTCGATGCCCGCAGACACCCCCGACGAAGTCCACACGTTGCCGTCGACGACCCACCGCGCTTTCGCCACCCACTCGGTCCGCGGCCCGTGGACGACGGTGCTCGCCCACGAGGCCTTGTTCGTCGTCGCGCGGCGGCCGTCGAGCACGCCGGCGCGGGCTACGACGGAGGCGCCGGTGCAGATGGAGATGAGGTAGCGCAGGCTCGGGTAGGTTGTCTTGATGTAGGAGATTGTGGCGTTGAGGTTGGGCGAGCGCGTCCAGAGGCCGCCGGGGACCATGAGGACTTCAATGTCCTTTGGGGCTGTCGCGTATGTGTGTGTTGGGAGGATTTTGGGGAACTGTACGTCGAGCGGAGGCCGTTCACGTCAGCACTGGGCGATTTCAAACTCGGTACGGAAGCTGATGCTCCGTCGAAAGAGGGGTGCCGCTACTCCAACCCAGGAATGAGGGAAATAATCAGGGGGTCGTCACTTACGAAACTCGAGTTTTTGGCATTCATGGCAGTGGAAACAGGCTCGACCGTGACTGGTTCCATTGTCTCGGAGATGAGATACAAGTTCATTTGGTGGTTCTTGGCCAGCAACCCGAGGGCATCAAGGGGCCCAAAGACATCGAGCATCTCAAAGGCCCGGTTGATGATCATGCCAAAGTTCCTTGGTAGGGGTTTTGGCGTGGATGTAGGAGATGACGGTGTTGCACTGATCGTCGAAGGGCGAGGGATGCCTTTTGGGACTTTATCAGTATGAGGACAATGCAAGACTCGTACACTGAGGATTTAGAGTGCGAATTGTGGTGCAAATTGGGACCACTTACACGCTCTAATGTTGGTAGACGCCTGAGTTTCGTTTTGTGCTGCGGCCATCGTGATGAGATAGACCAACAAGAGTCCAGTCACGGAGATGGAGCGTCGAGGTGAAACATGGGAGAGCATCCTGAAGAAGAAATGCGATAGTGTGTAATTATCAGCCGAGCCAACATCAACATAGGGAACTAACAATGTTTCTCTTTGCGACACGATGACATTTCTATCCGGGGGAGAGCAACCTTATATCGCGACAAGCGCTGGGATGTCCTCCCATGCTTACGTACCTTACCGTGACACAGCGAAGAGGGGTCGCCAATCTCATCTTCCGAGAACTCATCCCTAACATTTCATCTTAATGTTTCCGGGGACAGAAGTCGCATATGGGGAGCGTTGTTGGCATTTGCCCTACACGCGCGTTCACCATCCCGTTCGTCGTGAGTGAACCGGGGTTAGGGTAGGACCATGACGTTGTGCGACGATCTAATTGGCGAGATGTTTTTTTTTTTTTTTTTCAGAAAGTTGCTCACTGATGGATCTCGTACACCAATTTGTTGAATCCCCTGAGGTGCTAAGTCTCATCGGCTAGTAAGGATCGAGTGTTTTCTTCGAAGGATGCAGCTTGATATTCTTGGCGCGCTCTTTTGAGAACATTACCGGATTGGGTAATTTGCTCGAGACCCTTGGAATTTCTGACAAAAGTACAGTGACCTTGAAAAACTAGAACTGGACCCAACAACAGGGAATAAGTAGAGAAACATGAGCAAGTATTGTTCCAAGTATGGCTGAATGAATATTAGACATTTTCTTTAACTCAAAAAGATCTAAAGAGAAACCCGCCTGATATAACACACCAGTTGCCCATTTGTCCAGTTCACATGCTCCAAGTTGCAGGTACTCCATTATCTTTATTCATGCCCCATTTTCAAATAAATGTCTCCACAAAGCGGTGATAGAAAATCATGCCCAGCCAGCCGATGACTGGGAATGCAGCCAGCCTCCGAACCCAGTCGAATCGTCTCTTGGCCTTTGCAGCAACCCTAGGCCTCTGAGTTGGGACTGGTGCAGGGGTCACAACAGGTTTCTGGGCAAGGGGCGCCACAACGACTTCTTCCTGTTCCTTTCCTTTTTTCTCCTCATTACCCCCGTTGGAAGCTGCAGGGCCGCTTTTCTTCGGCCGGAGAACGAAGCAAGGCGCATTCTCGGTAGAGACTTCACCGGTCACAGCGCCCAGGCTGACCGCCTGACGTGGGATGCTGGCCTTGGTCACGAGAAGATAGGGGCTGCCCTCCACCTCGACGACGCAGTTGTGCCACGGCGTCGGGATATGCAGCAGGTCACGGGACGTCATTGGCGTACCGTCCGGTGAGAGGCCCTCGACCGCTCGGACGACGGCAGGGTCGAAAAGTTGAATCCCAAATTTGGGACCGGCGTTGTTGTGGCTATCAAATTGAGAATTGTTAGACTCAAGCATGTCGGAGAAAAGAGGATTATTGGGGAAAAGCGTACGCATGAATAGAGAGACGGACGTGATTAGGAAGAAGCAACTCGACTAGATTAGAGTATGCTTGGTTCCTCTATTTCGTATAGTCAGCAATCTGAGACAAAAAGGGAGCCACAACGTAATATCATTGGCGCAGCAATTTAAGCTTACCATGATCATCTCAAACGCCACTTTGGGCGACAACTTCTTCCTCTGAGTTCGTGTCATGCCCAGAGTGAAAGGGTGAAGCTCCAGATCCTCCAGCATGAACCTGGAGAACCCACGATACAGAGCTAGGATAGCCGGGTTTTGAGACTTGATCTTGGCTCGCACCGCAGACTCCTGGGGCTGGCAGCCGGCCATGAGGATCCGTCTGCAGAGCTCGGCCTCTAACGTCAGCTTTGTCTCGAGATGGTGCTCTATGCTTGGGATGTTGAGATCCTTCGATAGCGACGAGAGCTTGTGCTGCGACTTTGACTCGTTGAGTTCAAACAGGTCAACGAGCGACTTGAAGCCGATTCTGTCAGTGTTGCCTCTGCTGACACCGACTGCACGGTTCATATCCTTCAACTGCTCGCCGTACACATCGACATCTTCATCGTCGACTCCGACTAAGTGGGGATCGTCAGTTCTGCAAGCCAGGGAAGGTTGCTTTTTTCCCCTCCCATTTCTTTTGCTGGACTTACTGCAATCGCTAAAGACGTGACCGTCACTGATAATCCACATCTTGGCACCGGGCTCGTACACCCTCTCAATAGCCTCTACAAACTCGTGAAGCCGCTCCAGAGCGAGCTGCTCTCCGCGGTCAGGGGCTTTCCCGAGGACCTTGTTGGTATTTGACGATTTACACGGGAACGCAGGAAGACAGAGCTCGATTTTGGCCTGCTGGGAGGTGAAGTGCCGAACACGCTCCGTGAAATACGCTTTGCCGCTCGCTTCCCATTGGTCGTCCTTGCCCTGATACCTGAGAAAGCTATCAAACAGGCTGACGATCTCGGATGTGGCGTCCGTTGGGGAGGCTGTAGAGGTGTCGCCACACTTTATCCGCTCATGATCGCGGATGGCAAAGTCGGCTTGGTCCAAGAGCAGTTGGACGAAAAAGTCATCAAACTTTGTGCTGCCAACGTGTTGCTCAGACGTAGCGGTGGCGTCGATGATGAAGCCCGCCGTCGTGTCTGAACCGCTCCGTTGCATCTCATAGAGTTTCGAGCCCTGAAACGGTCCGTTGAGATTTGTGAACACGGTCTCGCTTGGTGCCGTTCTCGTTTCTCTTATTGTCGTCTGAGACTTTTGGCTGGGGAGGTTGTGGATGATGGACGAGGTCCAGTGCTGCTGCACGCAGCCTTTCTGCGGCCCGGTGCAGTACAGCAGCTGTCCCTGCCCGTCGTGGACGAAGGCGGCTTGGAACCGGTGAAAGATGGAAGTGCCGTCGTTGGAAAATTCCATTGTGAAAAGAAGAAAGAATTAAGAATATGATCGTCTGATGTTGGAATGGTGATTAGGGAATTATAGATTCTGTTGATGGTGTCGTGGCTTGTTGATTAGGTAGGGAATCCAGCGGGCTCTCAACGAGGGGGTTATTATAATATTAAACACAAGAATGTGATCGAGAGACTCTAGAAAGCACCAATACTTCTAGAAGTGTTTCTTTGGGGTCCTGGTTATTCCGATTGGACGCGGCTTCGGGTTCATGTGGTACGATTATGTTCTGGTCGGTATGTTGCGTGAGAAAGGAATCCTCCTCCAACTCGAGGAATACCGATTTGGGCGGGCTGTGAAATGCGTCCACCGTACGACCAAGACAGAACCAAGAGGAAAACGAGGCGGTGGTATGCGTTTGTGCCGCTTCAACGCAGTTGGGATTACTGTCAGCTCAACACAGGAAGGAACAAAAATAAGATAGATGTTGCTGGCTGCAGAGACACAAGGAAGCCCCGATGGTTGACGAAGGAAGGAAGAGGGTTTAGCAAGAAGTTCTTCAGCAGAAGGAGGTGGCGGGACAGGGGACGATGCCTTCCTAGTCTAGTCCACAGGTAGGTTGCATACATGGAATCACCGAAGAATCCTGAATTAAGGCTTTGCCCGACTTGGGAGAATGCGAAAGAAGGAACCAAGATCGTTGTACATGTACAAAGCACAGCAGCAGGGCTGGGGCTAATGCTTAGTAGAAGAGGAGAAGGAGCAATCCGCAGTTTGGGTCCTGGGGGCATGAACAAGATGCCTGTAGCGGGCGGCATGTGGATGAACCAAGGGGACGTAACCTTTTCCTTCGTACCTCCTTTTCGGGGCTCGTGGTGCTATTTCACACACTCTCTCGCATTTGTCCCTTTGCTGAGAAATACCGAGTTCCTTAGGGGAACACAAGACATCCAGGTCTGGTGTGCCCATCGAGCTGTGATCAGGGGGTCGTTCAGGCTCATTATACGGATACCGTGTACAGGTACGAAATACGCTGCTTGAAGTGCATACTACGCAAGGAAGAGGCCATCTGATGATGATGGGATCCCATGGTCAGCCCCTCGAGGAGCAAGCAAGGATTCAAGTGTCCATGGAAAGTGGGGGTACGACGGGGCGTTTGCCAGCATCGTTCAACGACCAGTTGTCGTTGGTCGAGAGGGGAGGCCAGTCTCAATGTTGGAAAAGACGTGTCTCCAAGAGTACTGAAGACTGAACAAAAAACACTGTTCGGCACAGACCAAAAATAAGTCAAGGCTTCTATCCGAAGGAACGAACACGACTAATCAAATCCCATTAACATCACGCCATTAAGATCACCTTGGGGCGAAGGCAAAAAACAGACAAGGACACTCCACTACCTTAAAGGACCAGCCATGCGGGACCTGCGCGCTAAGCACCAAACCTTACATCTCGGTCTTGGGTTGCCATATTTCTCTTAGCTCAAAAGCTGTCAGGCCTTGGCGTCGTCGTTGTTCATTTTTCAAAAGACTTTGGTAAACTCACAAAGGACATGCTGGCAGGGGTCATGAAGGGAAGAGAAGGGAAGGGCAGGGCATTGCCAAGGCACGAAAGTCCGATGGCTGCGCTTCCGTGGGCCGCATGGCGGTCATTTCTTGCACAAAAAAAAAAAAAAGGAACAGGCAAACGAATGGTTTTCCACAGAATTTACCGCCCCGGTTTCTAACGCGCGAAAAGGTGGTTCCCACCCGAGTGCATATATCTATTAGTACTTTGCAGTTTGCATACCCACAGCGCAGGCAGGCTGGCTGCTGAGATTCCGCAAGATACCGTAGCCAGCATACGCCGTAGGCACCGACTATGGCGCGGCTCTCTTGGCGTTGGAATGCGGCTTTTCGAAAGTTGGAGTTGCATTCGGGTCGCCGTGAGGTTCTTGGACATAGAGGAGCACAGGACTTGCTTTCCATTGGGTGGATCGGTATGCTTTCGCTTCTGATGCATTTGAACGAAGATCGAAGCGGTCTTCTCCAATCATGCTTGTCGATTAATTTAGAAGCGCCACCCCCTGGTTCTTAATTATGGGGAACCGAGAGTCCGGTCAGGGATGATGCGGGAAGTACCTGTTCATCGGAAAGTAGCGTCTTATTATCACTATGATTATCAAACTTTGTAACCCTATCTAAACCCCCAGAGAGCAAATCAAAACTCAATCTACCCAAAACCGCCCGAACCCGTAGATCACCCAGGCCCGTCTAGTTCACGACTCTCTTTTCACCGTCAACCCTGTCTGTCAAAACCAGCCGAAGTGCCCGCGGATAAAGGGGACCGGCCTGGAGAAAAAGCGAACAAGAAGCCTTTCGTCAGCGCCGAAAATCTGGAAAGAGTGGAGAATTTGGTCCACCGAGGGGACATAGGCAACGACACGCTTAAACTTACCGGAGTCTTGCGGTCAACCCACATCGGGTCCAAAGTGAAGGAGAACTCGCGGACCAGCTGAATCAGGGTGGTCCTCATTTCCAACATTGCGAATTTCTCTCCGAGGCATGCGCGTTTGCCTGAGATAGAGTCAGCAGGACCATCTTGGTAAAATGATTCACCACTCTTCCTTTGAAGTCTGTCTTACCACCATGAAAGCTGATCCACTCCCCCCTTGCCCGGCGGCGGCGGTAGTTTTGCTGAATGACTTCTGAGGATGATCCCCACCTGTAAATGTGAGCTTCATGATATTCCGAAGGATGTGCACGTGTAAGACGAACCGTCCGGGGTCAAACTTGTCTGCTGTGGGACCCCACGCAGTCGGGCATCGGTTTGTTGAGTAGCAGTGGTAGCCGACATATGTCCCTTTTGGGATTACGACGTCGCCGCCTAGCAGCGCCGTCTCCGCAGCCTTCCGGTTGATCAATTGACCAATGGGAGGGAACAAGCGCAGGCACTCGTAGATGAGCGAGGTGAGATACGGCATGTCCTCTTTGGCCAGATCTGCTGAAGACTTGGCATCCTTGGAAAGGATTTCTTGGCGCAAAGCCTCTTGCGCCTCCTAACAACCCCCACCAATCTTGTCAGCAACGAATGCACGCGTGAGACGGCACGGGCCTGGGCAGGTTTGCTGACTCACAGGATGTTTCGCCAGAAGATACAGGCTCGATATCATCAGCAGCTGCGGGTTCTCTTGACCGGCCACGAATGCCACGGTGAGGTTGTCGAGGAGCTGCTTCTCATCCCACATGCCCGATGCTCTGGCGTCGAGCATGCGCCTGCCGAGTTTGTCGTCGGATTGGTCTGACAGGGATGATGTCTTCTCCACAGGCATGTGGTGGCTCGCCTGCAGCGCGCGTTTGAGCTCGTTCTTGAACAGGCCCACAGTGCGTCGGGCCGCCAAGCGAGACTTGAGCGGCAACCTGTCGAGGAATGGAAAGCTCATAAAGATGGGCTTGAAGATCTCCCTCTTGACCGCCGTCTGGAGGAGATTGATGGGAGCATCTGCCCTGTCGAGTGCCTACGACGAATTGGCTGTGGTCAGCATGCGGCGAAAGACCCCTGCTAGATTAGGTCTTGTCGTGGGGGCCAGGGCGACTTACATGCAATTTGGTACCCAAGACGGCTTCGGTGAAGTTGGAGACGGAATACCGCTGCAACAGGTCTTGCATAGCAACGCCGCCGCCGCCGCTGCCGGCCCGCTTTTGGGATTCGCGAAGGAGACGGCACAGGCTGACTGCGTTGCTTTCGATGATTTCGCCATCGAAATTCCTCTGAAGGCCTGGCTTGATGACCGACCGATAGTTCTTCCAGACGCCGCCTCTCGCCGAGATGATATTGTCGCCTGATTCCGAGTTAGAACGGTTTCGAAGCACAATGGATGACAAAGAATACTTGCCAAGGAACTCTGCCAGGACGCTATGAGGAATCTTCTTCTGGTTGCCGCTCTTCTCGTACAAATCTTCGTCCTTGAATATCTCGACCAGATACGAGGGTCGATGTACCAAGATGTTCCATTGCGCGCCGAAGAAAATTTTGACTGCTCCGTGAGTACGCAGCGGCTTGTCAATGTACTGACGGAAAATATCCGACTGGTCAACGTCCTTGAAGAAGGGAATAAGAGCTACCCAGAACGGTATCGTCGGGAGGTTTTGCGGGTATCTAGGAGGCAAGAGAAGAAAGTAGTAAACGAGTCCAAGGAGCAGAACTCCGAGGAGTAAAACTTCTAGCAAAAACAGCAGCATCTCGTCGTGAAGGGCGTCTGTGGTTGCAATGTCAGTCAAAGCTGTGACAAAGAAATAACAAGCTTATATGTTCAAGAGCCGATGTTCCGAGGAAGCGACGAAAAACTAAAAGCAACGGTAGCACTTACAAGGATCGAGATGAGACCATAGACAAGATGGAAGCAATTTTCCTTCCTTCTCCTCAGCCCTACCCAAAGTAAGGTAGCAGAAACTCTAGCTGCCTGGAGATGACGTGCAGGAGAAGGCCACAAGACAGGATTAGGAATCACAGTCAGGTAGGCATGGAGAGAGGCTTCGTCTTCTTCTCGAAATAGACCGCATATGCGTGTTGGTGGTGGAACATGGAACATTGCATTTGTGCCTTTGGGATATCAGACGTTCGTTGTACAAGTCTGTCTGCAGACTTAGACCATAGTCAGCGGCACACCGGGCTGTGCGATGCCCGACGCATCGGTCAGTCGCACCAGACAAAGTCAAAAGCAAAAGGCCATATCCTTGGGAAGGTCCATTGGTCGCCAAGCGGGCCAAATGCGAGTTGTGATGCCAAGAAGGACCAGACAAGGAATGGAGGAAGCAGAAGATGCAGCGAGAGAAAGAGAGTTTGATGAGGTTCTCTGGACTTTCCCAAGGCGGGTTGGCGTAAGGTGAACCGGGGACGTGCCTTCAGGTACGTATTGTGGCCGTAGAGGTACCGGTACTTTGGGCGGAGCCTCCCCGCATACGCCCGCCAGGGAAATGCGGCAGTGCCCCGATGAGGAATCTAGCAAGAGCTGACCGGGGGGACCGGGGTCGGACGGATCCTTCCTGATCACTGCCTTTGACCTGTACTCCGTACGGAGGACGTTACTACCTTACGTGTAAGACTGAGAAGGGCTCGCTCAAGAAGCCAGGGGTTTATTAAATGGGCACTGAATCGTTCATACATACCTTACCTAGTGTCCTTACACATGATCAGAATCAACGGTAATCACCGAAGCAGTGTTGCTTCATTTTACCGCTTCCCGACTTCTGACCGCCGAGTTTTTCTATCATACTCCTTCGTGTCCGTCGGTCTGCTTCCGAGTCTCTAATTTCTGAGCATCTTCTCTGTATTGCTTTATTCAAAATCCTTTGTCAAAGATGGCCGACTCCAGTCCATCGACATCGGGCACGGCGACGCCCACCAAAGATCATATAATGTCTTCACAAGAGGTGCCGGCCCCGGCTATTACCAGCACTACCACCACCAGCCAACCGCCGCCGTCGCCGTTACCTCCAGCACAATCCGCTGGGGACCCAGAGAAGAAAGCCGGCGCGCCACCGGCTTACTCGGCCTTTTCGCCATGGCGGAAGCGCTTCATCCTCACAGTTGTCACCGTGGCTGGTTGTTTCGGGCCTCTGGCCGGCAACATCTACCTCCCTGCTCTGCCCGTCTTGGAGAATGAATTTCACGCAAGCGCAACGGCCATTAACGTTACCGTGTCCGTTTTCATGCTCACCTTCGCCTTCGGTGTATGTTCCCAATGTTCAAACTCCCATGCTCAAGGTAGAACATGACGCTTACACTCCTCTAGCCTCTATTCTGGGCCAGCTTCGCCGATTGGAAGGGCAGAAGACCACTATACATCATCTCTCTCTCCATCTATATTATTGCCAATATCCTTCTGGCTGCAGTACCAGCCAACTATGGCGCTCTTGTATTTCTTCGTATCGTCCAGGCCTTTGGGTCTGCGGCTGTCGTGTCGATGGGCGCCGGCACTGTCGCCGATGTAAGTGGCTCGAGAGAACTTACCACCCATCCACGGCTCACCTTACTAACCCGAGTCCAAGGTCACTCCACCCAAAGAGAGAGCATTCGCAATGAGTATCTTCCTCTTAGGTCCCCAGCTCGGACCTGTCCTCGGTCCAGTGATAGGAGGCGCGTTGACGGTGGTATCATGGCGTTGGATCTTTGGCTTTCTAGGTGAGGCTTTCCATCCTCCCAGCCTTACCAGACCAAACCATATTAACTGTACTCTCATAGCCATCGCCGGCTTCGTGCTCTGGATTATCATCATCCTCATGCTTCCAGAGACCCTGCGCGCCAGGGTAGGCAGCGGCAAGCTCTACTCCCAATCCAGCTTCATCCTCTTCCCTCCAAAGCTGTCTTCGCCCCTAGCACCGGAGTCGGAGAGAGGTCCCCCACCTCCCAAGCCAACCCTACTCATGTACTGGCGCCTCTTCAGCTACCCACCTATCGGCATCGTGTCCTTCAATACCGCCATGCTCTACTCGACCTACTTTGCCATCGCAGTGCAATTACCCACCGAGCTCGCCGACCGTTACAACTGGTCCAGCGCGGGCGTCGGCGCCGGTTTCATCGCCGTCGGCGTCGCCATGATTGCAGGCTCTTTGGTAGGCGGACGCTTCTCGGACTGGCGTAGGGCGCGCGCAGTCAAGACGTCTCCCGACAACACCGTCGACCCCGAGAATAGACTCGCAGACCAAATTTGGGGTGTCATTGTTTGCGCCGGTGGATGTGCCATGTACGGTTGGTTCGTCGACATCTCACTCCACCCTGCCGCCGTTTTGGTCGCCACGTTTTTGAGTAAGTTCTTGTCCGACGTTGAAAGATATCGTTTGGTTTCCGCTTCCCATTTCACATGAACTCGAGACTGACGTGCGTGACTTTTGTACAGCCGGCTTCGGGATGAACTGGGTATTTGTGGCCACAACGGCCTTTTTGACCGAGTGCGTGGCCCAGCAGGCTGCAGGTGCCTTTGCTCTCGGAAACATGCTGCGGAATCCCGGTGCCGCCATCGCCGCCCTCGTGATCCCTTCTCTCGTCTCCAAGATGGGAAGCGGATGGTGTTTCACAGGACTCGCCTTGTTAGACTTGGTCCTTGTCGGGTCTGCTGTAATTGGTTAGTTCCCCCGTAGTCGCGTCCTGGAAAGCTTGTATGCTAACGGTGTGTCTCACAGTACTACGAATCAAATCTCCGGGATGGAGGGCAGCCCGCAAAGCCAAGATGGCGGCGATGGCGGCGATGGCGGCAGCCAAGCAAGGTGGACCGAAATGAGTTTCACGAATAATGACAGGCGTTAATGAGACTAGAGCGCAGACGCTCATGAAGGAGAGTCTAACACAATTACTGTCTAATGTTTATACAAATTCGATCGTGTTCAATCTTAATGATCAACGCAAGTTTGGCTTAACGAATTTTTATATTATGCAAAATGATGGGCGGTCTACTTCTCATACGTTGCAATAATTCTGTCCGCCATCGCCGGCAGCGTCTCCGCCACCACATCCATCTCGCCGAAAATCTCTGGTAACGCCTCTCCCTCCAGAGCAGTACAGTATGCCGCCTTGAATCTGCAAGATGTTAGTGAGTCCTATACGACACAAAGATCAGTGAACCAAAAGGTCGACTTACCCTACAGTCTTCGCCGTCGACGCATCCCACAAGTGCGCCGCCGCAAACCAAGGCTCGCACCCATCAGCGGACAACTTCTTCAAAATCGGCGTATACGCCTCGGGCGTCGGCTTTGCCAAGCCAGACGAATCGCAGGAGAGCAAATTCTCAACCGGCATCTCGACCCCACCCCTCGAAAAATAGCCGCCGACGCGGGCGATATCGCCCGCCGTGAAGCACCACACCGTAAAACCCGCGGCGCGGAGCTTGGCCACGCACTCGGCGGCGCCCTCGCGCAGCCGCAGGCTCTTCCACTCGCCAATGAGGTAGTCGACGTCCTTGTCGCTCGCGAAGGCGCGCGGGTCCTCGATGCCGGCGTAATGCAGGCAGCGGTAGAACAAGGCCGTGAAGACCTTGTAAAAGACGACGTAGCGGCTCGACATGGAGAGGTAGGTGTACTCGCGCTCGGCGACCTCGAGCCAGCAGCAGCCGAGGAGTTTTGGCTGGATGCCGCGGGCGCGGAGGCGTTCGCCTAGACGCTCGTCGATGGCTTCGAAGAGGTGCTCGTATGTGACGAGGGTGCCGACTACGTCGAAGACGACGTTCTTTGGTGGTGTCATTGTGGTTTGGGGTTGGCTGTGACTTTGATGTGTGCGTGCGAGTGCTACACAAAGGATGCCCGAAAGAGATAGGTTCGGGGGTGGTTATTGGATGGTTACACGACGCAAGGGGTTGCTTCAGGGTCTGTCTGTTGGCCCGAGAGGTCTGTACCAACACGATGATGTAGATTAAATATGAGGCTTATCACGAGGCGTTGCATGGATCGCGCCTTTATGGAAGGCTGGGCTTCATCTTGACTTGATGTTGTCTCCCCGCACGTGTTGCGAAGTGCGGGGAGTCCAGAACAGGCATCACATAGGTAGAGTTTCCGGCGCCGATTCCCGGTTCCCTATCGACTTTTGATATTGAGGTGGGCCTATTTTGCCGGGAAGGATGAACGGGTTATTGCTAGGGGAGGAAAACGTTATCAGGTTTGACGTATCCACTAAGATATAGCGGATGCTGCCATGCGACTGTGAACGTTACAAGGGGACTGAAGGAAGGAGCGCCGGCCCGGTGCACTCCCACGTGTGCTAATACCTTGCTGACCAAAAGCCCATGGCTTCTGTAAATGCAAAGGACCAGCCATGAGTGGTATTCACACCGACGAGGTGGAACATTGTGGCGGACGAATCCGACGCTAGATCGGTCAACAATCTGGGGAAGTTGAGCTTGGCGATAGGAGGAAGTCGAGTGGACGTAAAGTGGAGACAAACTTAACCGCTCAGTCTATTCAGATCTGGATAGCTCATCGCCTAGGGAATCTTAATAATGAGGAAATATCAAAGGACATCCAGCATTACGTTTGCCAGATAGCTATCTTGGACGCCGGAGCCGGCCTCATATACATACTGTTTTCCGGCAGCCAGCTTTGTCGCCGGTGTTGCTTTGCTTTACCCGGCTTCTTATCGACTCAACTGATATGCGGTTAAAGATGACAGAGGGGGGCTGTGGGGGTGGAGACCGGGGGCCTTTGTCGGATACAACGCTAAAACAGAAAGATAAGGACGGACATCCATTGTCCGAAGTGACGGATCAAGGCCGCTATCGGGATGACAAGGCCGGAGAAGTCAATGACAATTTACAGAACGCTCAACCTCGCGAGAGAGAGAGAGAGAGAGAGAGAGAGTTACTGGAATTGATTTTCGCTGAAGCATCATTATGATAAAGTGAACTCATTACTTAGATAGTCAGTTGCCGTAAGTAACTTCGACAGAGCATTTCCAAAGACTTAGATTCCAAAATACAGAGCAAAAACGGTACGTATCCGTGAAATCGCCTAGTCATTCATTACGCTTCGAAAACGAAGATAAAGAGTGTGAATTACCGAGTTGCTGCGTTGTATTCCACCTTATTCTCACCATGGTAGATACAAGTTGACAGCTATCTACTTGTAAAGCGCCCTTACCTAAAGCGCCAGATTTATTCAAGTTCCACACAATGCACATGATTTATGTTTTCACGAAACATGAGCATTCAATTGGTGTCTGTTGAGAAAGTTATTAGGACATTGATAAGAATTCGATTCGCTAGATTATATGAGATGTCTAAAACCTAAGTGGTCCGTCTTAGTACCTACCCATTTACGCAAATGGCGCCACTTGAAATGCTTGAGACTCTTTCCGGAAATTGTCTAAGCTGCAATGGCTCAACGGAACCAATGACTACAAAATTTACAACAAAGCCAACTCTAGTGGATATGCTCCCTGCAATGCGCCTCTAATACGACACTTTACATGAAATTAGCCAACTCTACAGTTTTGCCGGCGGCTGATTGACCGACTTCCAGCTCTCAAGAATGGAATTCCTGGAACTGTCCAATCTCGCTTGAGAAGCTTGGTAGACTTTGGGGATACCCGTAGTCTTGAACGCAGATTGCTCCATGATCATCGATGCTATTCCCTTGGCCGACAGGAAAATCTGCGGCATGCCGTGACCGTTGAAACCGGCAATGATGAATTGTTTCTGTTTTCCGGGCACGACGCCGACGTGTGGCAATCCGTCTGACGAGTAGCCCATGACTGTATAATTGTTAGTGACCGATTTCACATTTCGAGTCTGACTAAATAAGGGCCAATTGACTTACTTCCAGTCCACACCTTCGACGTAGTTGCGCCGCTGTCTTCCCATCCGCGGAATACACGCTGCATATACCCATCAAAATGCGTCTTCGCCGCTTCAATCAACTCGTCATCGTTGACCTTGTTGTACCACGCCGATAGATCATGATAATACGAGGACCGCGCACCGCCAACGACGATGCTTCCGTCGAGTCGGGGAATCAGATACTCGTATTCCGTGTCGGACCAACGGATGATGACCGAGTGAGGCAGCAAAGGCCCGGGCGTCTTGCCGGGCGTGATGTGGCTGCAGATGCCGCGCACGGGGACAATCTTGTCGGCGAACTCGGGCAGGATGGACGACGTGTAGCCGTTTGTCGCGTACACGATCTTTGCGGCGCGGACGGCGCCCCGCGCCGTGGTCAGCGTCAAGTAGCCGTCCGCGTCGGGGGTGCTGGTCACTGCCTCAACGGGCGTATGGGTCTGCAGGTTGACGCCGGCGTCGAGGGCCTTTGAGAGGAGGGAGAGGATTAGTTTGTACGGCCAGACGGTGCCGGCGGTATATGACAGGCAGCCCTTTACTCCTTTTACACCTGATAGCTGAGAGTAAACAGTCAGTCATCGAGCCCCAAGTGTAGGTTGTAGCTCGACTTACTTGCTCCGCTTCGGCGCCGTCGGCGTAGTACACGTCCTTCATTACGGAAACGCCAGCTTTTCGAAGCAGCTCAACGTTGGCCTTCATCTTATCGCGGATACTCTCCGACATCAAAGCGTCGACTGCCCGGGTCAACACAAAGTCACAGTCGATGCCTTCCGTTTCAATCGCCTTCTTCACTTCCATGAGGTTTTTGGCCTCAAACTCCGCACACTCCTTCGCAGTCTCGATGCCATGTGTGGAAACAAAACTTGCGGGGCGATTGTACGGATCCGGCTTCAAATGGCCGCCTTTACCATGTCTCAAGTCAGCCAAAAGTCCGACGTAAGACGAGAGATATTGATAGGGTTGTCAAGCATACCATTGCGCCCAGTTGCCCCGGAACACGCCTGTCGAGCCTCGAGTATCAAAATCTTTGGCGGCGCGACACCACGCGCCTTGCACTGGTCGAGGATGTGGTACACAGTCGCGACACCCGCATAACCGGCACCAATGACCGCGATGTCAACTTCGGCTGGGAGCTCCGAGGTAGACCGGTGATCGTCTAGAGGGTGCGGGGATGACCTCCAGAAGGAGGTCGTGGAGTTGGGGACTGGGAGCGGGGAAACGGGCATGGCTGTGTGACAGGGTGTGTGTTTGTCTTTCTTGGGGAGAATCAGACACGAGATATTGTGAGTGACTGTTTTTAGCTGCACGATATGGAAGTGGTAGACCAAGCCGCCGCGTCCCCCATGATTATTAAAGGCTCAAAAGCCTCAAGTGCGGATGTTCCATCACGGTCCGCACCAGGTAGGCGAGCGCCGGGGGTGGGGCGGGGCCGGGACGGGAAACCTGTCGGGAAAGCTGTTCCGTCCGGTGAGCGGACTCAATTGTGCCCACGTACCTTACTCGTAGAGTCGAAGAGGGCCAGGGAGGGGACCGAAGTGTTCAAAGAGTGAAATAACTGACCGGCCCGGTCGCTTGCGGGGAACCCTTGTTTGGGTATGCGTTTCCGCAAAGTTTATCAGCAGCGATCCTCCAAAACTCGGCCTTTTAAGAGCCCATCCAGATAATCCTCAACCACCTAACTCAGAACAGCGGCTGCAGCACAACCCTTTAGAGTTGTCGACCGGCCCGGTCAGGATGTTGGGATTGTAACTCAGGAGTAAGGAAAGAGGCCCGCTCTTCAATGCGTGTCCCATACATATCCCAAGCCCTTGCGGACATGACGCTGCTTATCTGCGTATCTCTATGTTGGGGTGGCTGACAGATAAACCGGGGAAGCACCAACTACCGATAACCATGATAAGCCTCTACTGGCTCGGTGAAACTGGGGAGGCCCCCGGAAGATAGGTAGACAAACTGACACAGTAATCAAGCAGTAGGTCTACGAATCGAGTTGTCCAACATGGCCGTACACAGTGATCTTTACCCAACCCCAGAATGGAAACCATCATCCGCACTGACTAGTTCAACGGTTGTTTGGCAAACTAAAGCCATCCTAGACTGAGCCAATGGCAGCCTCTCTAATGATATGACAACACCACTATATACAGGCCAATGCCAGGCCCATCGACTCATCCCCAGACTCGACACCCACGGTCTCTAGCACGTATCCAGTGCTTTCTTCTGACGCCATGGCAACTCCACAGACGAAGGACGACACCAAGATCCCCGAGGCGTCTAGCTATCCCGAAGCGACTGACCATGCCGCCGGCACCAGCTACGTGTACGATGAGGGCGCTGTCGAGAACGTCGACGAGGCTTACCTCCGCGCCTCCAAGTCGACGAGGTTCTACAGAGGCGTGTTGTTCCAAATGATCCTCTTTGGAGCGTAAGTAGAGCTTTGTCTCGGGATCAAATCCAGGCGCCACGGATCCAAATTAATGTCTTCATGTAGGTTGTCCTTTGTCGGTCCTGCAATGTCAGACGCCATCTCCAACCTCGGAGGTGGTGGTCTCTCGACACCATACTTGGCCAACTTGGCGACTGCTCTCAGCTACATGGCCGGCTGTCTGATCACCGTCTTTGGCGGGCCTCTAATCAACAAGATTGGAATCAAGTGGTCTTGTATGATCGCCGCCGTCACTATGCCCCTTGCCGGTTCGGCTTACTATGTGAGCGCAAAGTACTCGATAGACTGGTATCTTCTCTTTGCAAGAGTACGTCATGACCCTTAACACTGCACTCCGTCTATCTCGCTCTGGAGCTGACTTGGCACACAGCTTCTCGGGGGGTTCACATCTGGTTTCCTCTACGTCGCCGAGACGGCCGCCATGCTGTCGTATCCGGAAGCAAACGACAGAGGTTTCTACCTGGGTAAGACAATGTCTGGGAGCTCTTCGGATGTGCTTGTGTTGATAAAGTTGGACAGGTATCTGGTCTGCCATGAGAAACTCTGGTAGTGTCATGGGTGGCGCCATCAACTTCTCGACCAACTACTCCAAGGCCAACGCTGGTGGTATCGCCTGGTCCACCTACTTGATCTTCGTCGGCTTCGGTAAGCACTCTTCACGTCATGCCCAAACCCGTCTTGGCACATGTTCTAACACGGCGCATGACAGAATGCACTGGGACGATCTGGGCCCTCCTCCTTTCCCCCACCAGGCGCGTACGTCGCCGCAACGGCGCAAAGATCCCCATGGCCAGCAGTATCAGCTGGAAGAGAGAACTCATTGCGTTGTGGAGGCACTTGCAGCGCAGAAAGGTGAATATACACAGCCAACACCCGTGCCCTGATGACCTTGACCCTGAGCTAATTACCAACACCATCAGACATGGCTCATGTCCATCCCCGCCTTCTACTCCTTCTTCTTTGGCGGAACCATGGGAACCTACCTCTCCCTGCACTTCTCCGTTCGGGCCCGCGCACTATCGTCGCTGATCACTCGTGAGTAATCCTACTTTGTCTCCTACCTTAGTCACTGTCCTTCCCCGGATCCACGCTGACAGTTCTATCTCGTAGCGGCAATCACCATCGTCATGGTCCTCGCCTACGGAAAGCTCTTGGACACGTCCCGCTGGTCACAAGCCAGGCGAGCGTGGATCTCCTTTTTCTTCTGGGTCATCCCCCAAGCCATGTGCTTCATCTGGATCGGCATTGAGTACAGCAAGTTCGGCGGAGGCAAAATCGACGAGGCTCTCGACTATGAGTTGTACGTCCCCTACCATCCCTCCATCCCATCATGATTCAAAGCACCGCTAACAGCATCGCTCCCCAACAGGCACACCCGAAGATGGGCCGAAGCTTACCTTCCCTATCTGATCATGTTCTCAACCGGTTACTGGACCCAATTATCCCTCTACTGGATTCTTGGAACCTTCTCCACGGACGTCGGATCCTCCTCCCGCTCAGGCGGTCTGTTCCGCGCCTTTGAGACGGCCGGCCAGGCCGTCTCGTACGCTCTCAACTCCAAGACCAGCGCCGACCCTAGAATTCCCTTCTACGTTAATGCTGCGCTGATGGCCATCACCATTCCGTGCATGGTCTTCCTCATCAGGCTGGTTCCTGATGCCCCTGCTGCTACGGACATAGATGCGGGAGACGTTGTTGAGGATCAGGCAGAACGGGATCCTGATAACAAATAGAACACATTCCGTCTCTAAGTTAAATGTAGTTGGAATGTGAAATTAGCTGTTTTTATGTTTTCAAGTACCATAGGAGTGATGGGAGGAAGTATTGACTAAGCCTCTGACACATATCAATGCCCCGATGATTTACTGCATAATGCTTCTTGGTCTTGCAACAAATGTTCATAGAACATGTTCGAACACGTGATTCCCCATTCGTAATAGAATGTAAAGGGTATTAAAGTCTCCCGCAGTCAGTGTGTTCTCTTTCGCTGCTCCCCGCCTTACGACAATTACTTTATCAATCGACTTTGGCCATACTTCGAAAATTCCAAAGCCCAAGGCCATAGTCAGTGTTACTGTGTTAGCTTAGGAGGCTCCATCATTCATATCTTCCGTTCATTCAGCTCGCTATCCCATTTACGATCCTACTTTTCTTATTAAGATCTTGACCTATGTTACCTGTCAGGTCGATGAAGTGTGACTAAATTACCTACACGAAAGCCGACGGTAGTTTTAATTTTCGAGACAAAATGATCATGTGTTTGAAAGGTAACGAGGGTACATTGTATATATTCATTGAAGCGGAGATGTTATGATATAAAACACTTACGAAAGCTGATCACGCATGTCTCGTTTGACCGCAAGCCTAGCCATGGCATTCCATTGCATTCTAACATTTCAATTGAGACTATGTCCCTCTCAGCAGCTCACCTGGACGGAATATATTCAGCAGAAAAATAGCAGGAAAAAGAGAGAAACATGAAAACGGAAAGAGCAACAGCATCATCTGTAACTTGTTTACACTTCAACTACTCCTGGTACATGATTAATGTCGAACCAGGACAGTACGCTTTGGTCTCCTCAATCTTAGCCAAGAACAACCTGATCCTCCATTTTTTTCAAATTCGGCTAACCTGGTGTAAGTATTAGCCTCTACTTGCATCAAGATATTCAAACAAATATTGAAATTACACCTCAGGAATAGTTGTTCATAATTTCATTGAAGCCGCCATCGACTTTTCAAACAAAAGAATCTAAATTTCTCTGAAAACGGCATGGATCCCCTTGGACCATTGAACGTTGACAGGGTTGTCATCTCTTAGCTCCAAACTCAAATTCGTCTGAACAGTGGAAATAGGTCCAAGTCTGACCCCACCGAAACATCTCAAGATAGTTTGGCCTGGAGCGGGTAAACGGGTGCTCCCGCTTGTAACGGTGACGTTTAGGACGGAGATGGAAAAGGCTCAAAATGAAAAATCCATTTTGGCAAAAGCGTATTTTTTTCGTCCCTTGTCTGCTTATTTTTGCATTATTCAGCATTGGGCTCTAGACGAGCTCAGCCCGACGACATGTCAACGAAACGGACGTTCCTTTTTTCTTCTTCTCTAGTTTCTCAGTGACATCCTGAGACCCGCCTCCTCGGCTGGTAGTTCAATCAGTACTAGTACGGGAGTAAGAGTGCATCATGGATTTCTTGCCCACCGGTTCGAATTGCCCTACATCATCAGCTCCGAGTTAAACAGCGCCCCCCTGATAGACGGTTACACAGATCATCCACACAAAAAAACTAAAAACTGTTGACAAATCCCATGATTGCCTAGTCCTCTTTTCTTCTACAGTCTCTTGGCTATTTCCCCAAGTCTCGTGGTAATGCGATGGGAATAAAGGATAGAAGGTACGCGCAACGCCAGAACCGAAAATCGCAACACTTTTACTGTCACACACATGCAAACAAGAGAGACATTGTCTGGGCCCTTGTGAACAAAGGTGCATCAATACACCTGAGGGACCGTCACCGAAAAAAAGCTCACCAAGCCCTGTACGCTTTACGTTCAGGTAAAAGTTGGCACGTGGGTTGGTCAGGTGTACCTTGGCATGTTGGGCATAAAGGTAGAAATCCCCCCCAATCCTCCCCCATTCCCTGCAGCGAATCCTACCCCACCCTCCGGTTTTCCCTCCTTCACCGAGACCGCGGCCAATAGGGACGGCCCGGTCGCATCACCACCACACATCCATCCATCCTTTCGTCGTATCCGCCAAAAAACCTCCCTCTTGTTGAGTCTTTCCTAGCTAATGCCCGCCTGCATACACGCGATTTAGGATCCTACCATCTGGCCCTCCCCCCCAAGGCCCCAGGGACGGGAGACATTGCGGCATCTCCGTTCTCGTCTAGAAGGGAAGTCTAATTTGGACTCACGTCAAATATTGGAGTCAAACCAACAGTTGTTTTCGGTGAAACACCTGTGATATTGGGGTTCCGCCAAGGTCAATGGGTGGGGATTTCGGAGAAAGATTCTAGAGCACCACGTGAAATATGCCCACCGGTTGACATGGATGTTGGGGGACTCGGGAGGTCGCATTCTTTTCCCAGGCATCTTTCTCGTTTGATTCTCCTTCCCACCCCCTTGTATCTGTATGGTTCAGTTGCATCCGTCACCCGTGTCCAAAGTGCGAGGCGCCCGCGGCAGTTGTATAGTTGCGTTCCGTACGTTGGGAGGCTACCGTAAGGAACGGGGGGCGCGGGCGGGACGGGAATCTGGAACTTAAACTGGTGCCTGGTTTAATTTCCTGACGGGCCACCTTACAATGCAACGCTTCTCGTCCCCCCCCCCCCCCCCAGCTCCCTAATGTCCAGACAGACAGGTACATAGGCAAGGCAGGTATGACATGGCAGAGATATTTCCGCGATGATCACGCATGGGAAACTGATCGTTAGACCTGGCCCCAAATTCCCCAAATCGAGAGCTCGTTCCCAAATAGTAAAAGTACCATGTATGTGGGGGGGGTTTCTCTCACTCTCACACGCACACACACTCTCTTCAGTGCCCTTGTCTTTCTATCTTCGACCTTTCGTGCTTCCTTGATGCACATTGCCTGGTTCTTACGTACATTACAGGCCCCGGCAAGCGTTCCATTGCATGTAGGCATAGAATCAACAACTCATTCTGCCACTCCCCGTTTCCATCTCACGCCTACGCACCCAACATATGCATACGTACACACACATACACGCCCATCCTTCGCTCCCCCACTCCCCATTTCCTTTCTGCGTATTCCCTACACACCCCACCAACGGAAAAAAAAAATATGTATGAGATGGATGGCATAGTGCATCAGGGGAACCAGCAGCCGCGCTCCGGCCGACACCCAAACCCAGGTGCCAGAACCAACCTCAGTGACAAGGGGTCCTTTTTGTTCCCTTCTGCTTCAGCCACGCGGGCAGCCCAGCCAGCTACGTAGACCACGCCGGAAGACCTTTTCTTGGTATATCATCATAGGTACATGCAAGCCACCAACCCGGCTGTGCGTCCCGGCGTCTGTGTGTGCGTATGTGTGCGCGCGCGCGCGTGTGTGTGTGTGTGTGTGTGTGTGTGTGTGTGCGAGAGCGCGTGTGTTGCAGACCGCCTTTTCGTTTACTGCCATCGGCGGTCTTGACAGCCGTGTCCGTCATCTCTACCCGTTCGTCTGATGGAGAGTCTGAGCCTCTTCAGCACAGCTGAGGAAGATCAAAGACCTCGGGTTGAAATAAAAAATACCTACCGCAGGTTGCTCACTCCGTAATTATCAGTTAACCCACTCAAGGTCCGGAGAGATCCCTCCCAAATATCGAATCTCTATTCTCTACCCTGGCCCTGGCCTATGGAACTAGGAAAAGCTTTTTAGAAAGCCTTTCTCTCTCTCTCTCTCGCCTCCAGCTACCGGGCCAACATTACGCTTGGGCGAGACACACATGCTGCAGGCCTGCATGGAAGCCCAGCAGCTATAAGACGCAGCAATCCCACTAGACCGGATTCGTTCACTTTTTGGTTCACCGCGCATGAAAGAGAAATAGGCAGTCATAGTTTGGTAGTGGTAAATAAAAATTGGTATCAATAATCCTAACTTCTCATACGTGCATTCACGGCATCCACCACAAGCAAGGGGTGCATGATACTCGGGATCCTTCCTATCGGCCCAGTCCAATGTCAACCCAAAAACGAAATAATCCAAGAAAAAAACAGGACACAAAAAAGTTGTGTGTGACGCTTGTTCCCAACTCCATTGTGTTGCCACGCTTTTTGCCCATCGTATCCCAATGCAAATCCCAGGGGTATCTGAAGAGTCTAGTAACTCTGATGGGAGGCCGAGTCGTTTTTCCCTCTTTTCCCCTCCGCGCTCCGCTTTGATCCAAATGCACACGCTCCAATCCCATGGGATGGTCTAAAAACTCCCATGAAGCATCATCCAACAGCCCCCCCCCCCCTTCCATGTACCGTGACACCCCCCACCCTCTTTGATGTACGTCCACTGACAGGCCAAAATGCCTGGCGGAAAATCATCGCCTATGTGTAAACAATATGTTGTTCACCTTTCCAGAGTTTCCGGTCTGGAGAAGGTTGAGAATGAAGAAGAAACCGCTCAACAGCTCAAGTAATCGAGACTTTCGTACACCCCCCGTCGTAAGAAATATAGCCTTGACTACAGTATAAATGATCCAAGGGAAGATTTGAGTCCATCAGTACCACTTTACTGAGAAGCAAATGGACGAAGACTGCAAGGAAATGACATGAAAGCAAGAAGAATGTTCAGACAGCCGCCCCGACCCAGTAATTACCGCGAAAGAGATTACGCTCTGGTTTGATGTTCGATTTTGTTTTCCAATGGACTGTTTCGTCTCAAGCCTTGTTGAGCACGTCCAAATGTTGCTTTTCTTTACTCCGTTCCGTTCTTGTGGTATATACTCGGTGTAGTTCATATTCGTGTATTCGTATGGGGGGAAGAGCGTTGGCGTGTACGCGTGGGAGTGCTAAGTTGCGATTCAACCCCTAGTAGATAGCATGGCTGGACTGGTGGTACATGCGGTCTCGGTAGGCAGAAGGAATGCCGTCGTATCTGGGGCTGCTTGCGCTCGAGGACTGGTCCACGTCCGTGTCGTAAATCTCGTAGCCGTGCTGGTGATGTTGCATGTATTGTTCTGGGGGAGGCAATCTCTTCGAGCTGTATGCTGCGAGGCTCGCGGGGTTGGGAACGCGCTTAACCGGATAAGACGATGGAGTAGTCCTGGATTTCGAGACACGGTTGCTGACTCTGCGGTCCTTGCCACGACCCTTGATGCCCTTGTTGCTGTTCTTGTACAGGTTGGCAAAGTACCAGTACATCTCCCGCTGGTCATCAGACAACCCGTCGATATCGGAGATGGAGACAATCCAGTCAGTCATTTCCATGAGGGTCTTCTCATGGTACTTGTTTTGATGATTCTGATGCTAAGTTAGCTGGATGACCGTGGGATATGCCACTCCCACTCTACACACCTTGAGGTTGCCTCGTTGGGTGAACATCTTGTTGCATGAATCGAGCTTGCAAACGAATGGCTTTGCATTGGTGTGCGTGGCCATGTGCGTCTGGAGGTTGCCACGCTGCGCGAATACTTTGCTGCATTGTTCGCAGCGGAAGGGCTTCTCGCCAGTGTGGCGACGCATGTGAGTCTGTTGGATGGTTAATAAGGCCATGGGGTGTCTGATCGAAATCGGATGAACTGACCTTGAGGTTACCAGGTTGCGAGAAAGTTCGTCCACAGTTCGGCCATTGGCATTCCTGCAAATTGTCAGCGTCGTTCACATCACATTCGGCTAGCTATATGTGCTTACGTATGGCTTTTCACCGGTATGGGCGCGTTTGTGAGTGTCCAAGTGAGTGCTTTGGTAAAAGCTTTTGCCGCAGCCATCAATATCACAGACATATCGCTTGGTCTTGGGAGCATCCAGCGAGTCCGTCGTTGTCGAGGGTGTAGGGGCCGACGCAGCCGGGGTCGGCTCGGGCTGAATAACGTCAGCTCAGTCACTCATGCCAGCGGACGCAGAATCGGGGCTTACCTTGGGAGATCTAGGCTCCGGCTTGACAACCTGTTCGGTCTCTGGGACGCCCTTGACAATATCCTCAGTGTCGTGCCTCTTCTGGATCGCCTTCATGAGAGTGTCGATAGCAGTGGTGAAGTTCACCGGGTCCGCGCTCGTGGGCTTGTTGAACTTGATTTCCTTGGTGTTGAGGGGGTGGGGTGTCTTTGGGTTGCTCATCTTCGTCTCGCTTCGGGTGGATGGGCTGCGGTGTCGGTCGTTCTGTCCCGAAGGCGACTCCTGGGGATAGGAGCTGGCGCGAGGGACCTCATGCTCCGGAGCTGCCACGGGCATGATCGGTCGTTCTTGTTGAGCCGGCAGTCTGAAGGGAATGTTCATGTTGGCCGGAGGGGAATCGTACTGAGCATACGCGAAGTGGTTCTGAGTCGGGCAGTGGTGACCCATTGCCGGCATAGACGCGACGCCGTAGTGAGAGCCAACCATGTACTGAGGCGCCATGATAGTACCGTTGATGGGAGCAGAAGTAGCCGCTCTTGAGTCGTACTGCACAAAGGCTGTGTTATCCATCATCGCGTAGTCATGGCCGGCGGGCTGCTGCTGCCAGCGACCCCAAGCCTGGGGCGGGGCTGTCTGTTCCGTCAAGGCCATTGCTGCGAAGCCAGAATGAAGAAACGATAAGTTGGAAGCGTCAAGTATGGTTATTGGATATAATTAGGACGAGGTGATGGTTAGTCAATGCCAAAGTTGACTGACTCCTGCCTGTGTCTGGAGTATGTAAAGTGTGATGGAAGAGATGGATCAGTGGTTGATGCCAAAAAGAAAGGGCAGAGGTCAAGCGTTGACTGCTTGGGAAAGTTATGTGTTTATGATCTCTCGTGAGAAGACGTTGAGAAAGAAAGGAGGATGGAGGCGGGTAGATGTAGTTTCGGGACAGAGTCAATAATGGACTCGTGGTATAAAGTGCGGGAGGGGATAGCGGATGTGCGGCCGGGGTTGAATCCTGGAAGCCAATCGACTGGATTGGGTCCCGAAGATCTCAGCACTAAATATACATGCATCCAAAGCGAAACCAGCAAGGACCCAGACAGTGGGTTGGTGAGAGGAAAAAAGAAGGGTTGAAGGCCAGGACCAGAACATGGAGAGTTTGTGGAAATCATGGACCCCCACCACGAAGAGCAACACGGAGGACTTCCATAAAAGCCGGGGTAGCGACTGAGCGGGTCACGACCCGGTCGACGCGGACGAGGACGAGACCTTGCTCTTGCTGTACAGGGTGGCCAAGTACAGGAGGGGAGGGGAGGGGGGAGGGGCGCCTGGGAAATCGACTTCTAGGGGTGTGGGAATGGGAATGGAGAGAGGCGTCATACCCATACCTTGCAACTGACTGAGCTCAGTGGTCGGTATAGGATGCACTCATGTCTCTCTCCCTGGGTCTAGGTACTAGCCTCCCCTCATAGATGATGGAGGCGTCTGCGACGAGCATCATTGAGGTTCTCTCAGAGGCGAAAGTAGGGCCAACGGCTAGGCGATCAAGCAACAAAATGAATCTCGAAACAGACCACCTAGACAAGGAGAATGTATACCTAGCCAGACAGAGGCACCGCGTAGAAATCGAAAGGAGGAGCCTCGGTTACTCGAATAGACAGAATTAAGACATTCTGGTAAAGACGAGTTCTTCATAGGGGCAACTCACAGGTCGTCAGTTGGACTAGTTCGCAGGAGAGCTCATCTCATCACTGTCTGCGGTAAAGGATAGGCAGGCGAATGGTGAGAGAGTGAAACAAGCATAATGTGGGAATCTCAAATAAAGACAGTCCCTTGTCCTCGGGCAGGTCGCTGTGGCCTCGATTTGTTGTTGCTTATTCTTGGAGTCGACGTGCAGCATGGCGACATGCGGCTTGGGTGTAGGTCAGATCTACCCAAATGGGCGCCATTCTTTCTTTTCCTGAGAGGCTAGGATCGCCGGGAGGTCGATATTGCAGCCGGACGGCAAGGCGAAGCAGGGGATGGTAGTGGAGGAACTTTTCGAAAAGTGTCGAGACAATGTGAGAAGAGACAGAGATGTTGATGGATTCAGGTATCCCGTATGGACTACCTTACCTAGGCACCAGATCTCATGAAAAGTGATCACGATGATGGAAAGATGGAGGTGGCCAACGTGGGAGCTGGTCATCAGTACCATGTCAGGTACACTCTTCAAAGTTTAGGAAGGGCAAGGGTTGACTTGACAATTTGCAGAGTGAGGCGGATGGGAGCTGTACGTCTTCGTGCGTAAACAAGGTAACGATGTGGTAGGGTGATATTGAGCTGAGGACGATCCTGAAGATAATGACGACGAGGGTTTTGCGAGTGAGGCTTTGCAAGAAGGGATTTTAGGCGCAGATACGAAGGTCAAGAACAAGAGATTGAGTGTTGATGGTACCTCAAGCTACCGGGCCGGTTCGAATACATAGACAAGACAGAGCAGACTGGTCAAGCTGAGATACCTGCGCATGCATGAGTGAGGTGAGGGTGAGAAACGGAGACTTGCTTCCATTGCTTAGCGGCCATGAGAGACATTCAAGACATTCAAGACCAAGTGAGACTCTCGAGTCTCGAGAAAGGGCCGGACTATGGAACAGGGATTCCCTAGCCACTGGATTCTTAATTTTTCGTGCAGGCGGGCGGGACTGACGGCAGGGAGAAGGAGGAGAGCAGGGACGTGCCATTGGTATCCGTACCATGGGATGGAGGGTGGAGTCCTCCGCAGGTATGGATGGGCTATGAACAGGAAGAAGGGGGGTGTGGAATGAGTGTGCTGGTCTTCTCACACGGGGTGGTGAGTTGAAAACGAAGTGAACTTGTGAAGTCTGGATACCACACCCTGCCCTGCGGCCTGCGGCCTGCCGCCTGCGACATGCCCTGCACTTGACTGCAGCCGTGGGAGTGGGGAATAGGAAGATTTCCAAGGGTACGTACTTCCCGAAGCCTTACCTAAGGCTTGGCAGGTACGTACTGCCCTGTGAACTCGGCCCCCCATCTCATGTAAGGTAGGTAGGTCCTCAAGTACCTTGGTGCAAGGTAAGGTAGGCAGGTACGGAGCACCGTCCGTCCTTTTGCTGTCTTGATGAGGTGGTTATTCGCAGCTGCCTTACCTTCCATTACTTTACTGCGTACGTAGTAGGTCCATCATAGCTTAGGTACGTACAAGCCACACTAGTGAGGTAGGTAGCTTACGCGCGTGCAAGTGCGGTGCAGGTACATCCACGAACCTCACACCCTCAGTGCCTTCCCCACCCCCCCTCTCAACGTCGAGTTCCCATTGCGGCTTGCCCCAAGCTTCCCGTCAGGTCCCCTACCTTACCTCCTCTGGTGCTTGGGCATATTGGATCACATCAACATCCTTCCTTGCCTCTTACGTTGTCCTTACCTGAGGTGCTCAGGATCCTCACCATGCGAAATCGTCGACGGCTTCTTCCATCAGTCTCTCTCTCTCTCTCTCTCTCTCTCCCTCCCTCCCTCTATCCTCACGCCCAGCCAGTGGCAGTGGCAGTGGCATTCGCAGAAGGAGAGCGAGAGACAGACACAGAAACACACAGGGACGGGTCGTCTACAGTTCTCACCTACCGCCTGAAGACTGCGACTCTGGCGTCGAAGCCACAGCCGAGAATCTGGGCATTCTGGACCACCAGTTTCTGCGCCAGACATGTCACCGTCGCCATGAACTCGAACACACGCATCCTCTCGACTGCCACGGATACCTACCTGATCCCTGGTCTGCTGTCCTCCGTTTGCTTGTTGGCCACGTTCGAATCCTCCGTTCATGCACCAATCTGTCAGCACTTTTTTTCTCGTCCCCCCCTTCACGGCTTCCCTAAAGAAACCTCACCATCGGAACCTGCGTGTCTGAATCAGGCCAGGCACACAAAGTACACACACACTCTCTACCTGCTGCGGCAGACAGCGCAAGCAAACATGGCACCCCTGTTCTGCCCAGCTCCGCCAAATGAGAATCATTCGTTTTTCAGGGCCGTTGTTTGCCTGTCTGCTGTCATTGGCAATGCTATTCAGAGGCACCGACTTGATCGTCGCCATGGGCTTCTTTGTTCGGCATTACCTCAGCCCTGTCGTCTCAAGACCGAACGCTCCTAAATCCAACAGAGCAACGCCAAAGAGCTCTTGGAAGGACTAAGAAGGCCAAGCCTCCTATTCGCACACATCAGGCTTCTGCGAACCACGCGAATCAACCATGTCGATGTCGATTCGGACCACGGATACTATCGATCACAGCTGCTGAGTGCCTCGTATTGAGCCTCCCACCTCCCGCCTCATTTTAAATGTCCCATCTCAGCATCAGGCTGTGTGGCTTGTACCCACCCTGCCACCTTACCTCAGAGGCTCACCCGCCATACTCCGTACGGATACAGACGCAATCAACACCCATGGCGTCCCCGAGCTTTGACAGCTCGCAACAATGCCCTTTTCTCCGTCCGTTTCGAACGTCCCTGTGCTCTCTTCACCCGCCAACCCCAATCCCATACCGGCTTGGCACCACCGCAAAACCGTAGGTACTCCCAGTACCCTTCCCGTTGCCCATAAACCACCGGGCTGGTTTCGGGGGAAAACATCTTTCATTACGATCTGGCGACTAGACTGGCATCATAATTACCCCGCGCATTCGCTCCTGGTTCCTATCTGGAGCAGGAAACTCGGATTTTACCCAGTCGAGGACAACATGAAGAGGTCACGGAAATCCCATCATCAACTTTGTGACTACCAATCTGCTTGGCTGAGTACCTATATTCTTCATCAGCGCCCGTGAGGATCTGAGACTCAAATTCTCACTCTCGGCAACTGGACCAATGGTTGCGTTTACGGCGTTGGCCGCCCACGGCTCGACTGACGATTTGAGAACCCTTCCGCTACACAGTCTCCACGACGGGTGGGAACGGCGGTTCAGTCGAATGATGGCACCTTAGAAGATGATCCTTTTGCATTGCCAAAACCTCCGAGCTGCAATGGCAGGGGCAAAAGAAGGTAGAGGCTGCAGTGCTGTGCCTTGTCTTTCGCAACTCAGCATCATAATCGGAACTCCAGGGATGTGCTGCCTCCGGTGGTCCCCGGTGGCCCCCTACTCTCCACCTGGCCCTGCGATCTGTTGGGGTCACGCTGCGATCATGGATCTCAGATTGGCTCTACCACAGAGCCCCATGTGTTTGCCAGCCGGCTCAAGACTCGAGCGTCCTGACGTCGCAGCGACAGGAGTTGCTCACCTCTCCCGGCCCGCACTCTGGAAATTACGCGACACGGCCCATCTCGCAGCTGCATCACGATAATACTGGAATCTGACATATCCGTCTTGAAGCCATTTTGGTATGTTAACCCATGGTTAGGCGACTGGAGGCGAAACTCAATCTTCCGTCTGTTTTTCCTGGTCTCGGCGACACTCCGAAGCAGGTTTCGCCAATTTGTATTTTTTCAAGTGCAACAGCAGTATTCTGATGCCGGGGCTTTTTCTTCAATCTGCATCAGGTCCTCTACGAATACCTGTCGTACGCAGCCATTACGGATACACACGTCTGAAGAAAACAGTGCACGCAAGGGATTCCGCCAACCTGGTCGAGACCCATCGAGGAGTAACCAGCCAACCCACTGCAGCCGCCATCAAT